TGCATTCCCAGGCCAAATGCTGTCCTGACCTGATCTTACCCAAAACCAGTACTGGGGAAGGTTCAAGAAATAGAAAGTACTGTGAGGAATTTCATAATAACCTGTGAAAAATAATTCTGCTCAGAAAACTTATTAGTTCTGCTTCATTTGGAACATCAATCAGATAATTCAGTTTTCTATTATATAACTGCAAACACAGTTACATTGCATTTCACTTTTCACCTTTGTTCTTTCACTGGCTCCAACCAGAAGCTTTCCCCTTCACTCGCTGGCAGTACCGGTTGCTTGCTCTGTACCCCTCTTGTTCCTTTTCAGCAAGCAGCAGCCTTTTCTGAAGGTGGTACATAAATGCTATTGGCATACATTATCCAGCCAAGGTCTGTATCGAGGGTTAAACTTCAATCTACAAATCCACATGCAAGTACTGGTGCTCCCAGCCACTGGTGCCTTGCTAGCCACACCATAGGGATCAACTTACTAGCTCATGGGAAAGCAGTTAGAAAAAACATGATCAGTATTTGTATTTGAGAGCAAACTTGAGATTTTATTTTCTTCAGTGTTGCATGCAGTTACTGAGAAAAAGGATGCGGCCTCCATCCCTGCTCTGGCAGCCAGGACCCCTGCTTTCACAAGGCACCATGGGGCGCCCCTGTGCTCACTTCTCGCCTCATGGCCCTGAGACAGAAGCTTTATGACAACTTGCAGAAGTGTCAGTTCTCATGAGCTTTTGGTTACTTTCAAGAGATTGAGAGGGTTAAAAAATAAATAAATAAACAAGCTAGGGGAAAATACACCTTTCCCCACCTTTTTCTGACTCACCCAGGCACTTTTAGCCAAAAATTCATCCCCCAGCTAGGCCTAGCTCCCCTTGGTTTTGGAACACACTACACTCAGTTTTTCTGTTGAAATAAATGTAGAATCCCCTTTCACATATTTCGAGATACACAAACTTCTCCAGGGAATCTGTGGAAAGGGGTTCTGCCAGCCTCTGTAAAGCGTTCAACTTCCCTCCCAGCTGCTTGCTGTATTCACCTGGCTCAGTGTCCTGTTTTGTGTACTGCCTGCAGGTCACAGAGACTGCGACCACACCAGCTGTGAACAGGGGAATTCACAACCATACCTAGCATTACCTAGCACAGAAACCTGTATTGAAGGGTGGCCTGTCACTAAAACCTGCTCACTAAGAACACCAGCTCTGCTTCAAGGCTATATGCATCAGCTTAGAAACTCACTGTCATACCGCAGTGTGTGAGAAAGATAAATGCAGTGCATTAAATGAATAGGATTTTGTTGTTTCTCCCCTTTTTTATTTTTCTGAAGAGTTTGTCTACTAAGCATGCTTTTTTTCTCCTTGTGCTTGATCATGCCATAGCTACCTAAAAAATTAAGCGAGCACGCAGATTAATTACATACAGTATTAACATGATTATTATGATTATAGAATCATAGAATGGCCTGGGTTGAAAAGGACCACAATGCTCATTCAATTTCAACCCCCTGCTGTGTGCAGGGTCACCAACCAGCAGCCCAGGCTGCCCAGAGCCACATCCAGCCTGGCCTTGAATGCCTCCAGTGTTGGGGCATCCACAGCCTCCTTGGGCAACCTGTTCCAGGGCCTCACCACCCACTGTGTGAAAAACTTCCTCCTGATATCTAACCTAAACCTCCCCTGTCTCAGTTTAAAACCATTCTCCCGTTTCCTATCATGATTCACACCTTCTTTCTCTCTCCTGTTTATATGCTCCCTTCAAGTATTGGATGGCCACAATAAGTTCTCCCCAGAGCCTTCCCTTCTCCACGCTAAACAAGCCCAGTTCTGAAAGGTGGAAAAGGGGCCCCATACGAAAAAGGCAAAAAGAAGGTTTCACAGTAACTGAGAATAGGGGAGGGGATAGAGGGGGATAGTTAGGAATAGTTTATAGAAGCAGGAATGTAGAGCTTGTTAGAGAAGGGGGGATAGCAGACACAGTCTGGGATAGTGAGGGGGATGAAGGCCATGCTGATAAGGTTTGAGACATCTGGCAGGGAGGTGATTAGATGTCCACAGAGTAAGACAAAACTACTTTGGGGGATGCCCCCCCCTCCTCTGTCAGGAGTTATGGTGAGGAAGGTCAGAAGCCTTCACGAGAAAGATAACAAATTCTTCAACCCACAACCCACTACGCACGCACAACAGGGGAGGGTCTGCATGCCTTGGGGTGTAATAAATGTGTATCCAAATTCTGGGAAACTATTGATTATGTATTAGTTTGGCCTATATCTGTAGCACAGTTTTTCTAGACAGTGTGCAAGCTTGGAGGAATTATCCCCCTTGCACCAGGGCTTTTGCACAGTTGCCAATAAGACATACCTTCTCTATATCCTTACAGGCTATAGGGTTTGATTTTCTGCACGTCAGTTCCCTCAACCTTTCTTCATAGGAGAGGTGCTCCAGCCCTCTGATCATCTTAGTTGATCCTCTGGACCCGCTCCAAGAGCTCTGCGCCTTTTCTTGTGCTGGGGGCCCACTTTGGGTTTAGTGTGATGGCAAATGGGAGAAGAGGCGGTTTGATTCTGGGTCTTAACTCAGTAGATCTTACACGTGGGTGCAGAACTGATTCTTGTTTCCATTAGGAAAGGTAGAAAACACTTAATCCTATGCATTGTCTAAATGGTAGCACCACTGAGCCAGAGGCTGCCACCACACTGTGAGATGCACCAACTTCAGTGGAGGTGGCTGTGTTCACACTTTGCTCCCTTCACACACTGGAGGATCAACACCTCTCAGCAGGCAGCTGAGTTGCTGCCCGTTGTATAGCAGAAATTAATGTGTCAGGTGCTCAAAGCTGAAGTAAACACACAAGTGTCCTGGTTCTCAGAGCTGACTGGCCAGGCAGGATTTCCCGGTGCTCGAGGAGGACTCCATGGCCCAAGTCCTGATAGTGATACCATACAGTAGCAAGAGAGGGGCTTAGTTTACTCCCCGTATAATGAGATGCCACCTCCTCCTTCTAACTACCACCACTCCTTGTGTCATATTTGTTGCTGAATGGCCAGTAATTACATGGTATGTGGCTTTTAGGGATGTGAGTAACGTTGGTTTTCACTTTGCTACTAATGGTACATGCGCACCAAGTGTGAATTGGATTACCAGCCAACTTACTTGTATTGCTTCTAACTGCTGTGATATATTAAACACAATCCAGGGGCTGGACTCATGAGGTCCACCTGCTGTATGTCAGAACTACTTTGTTAATCAGACAGAGTTCTCTGTTTTTTGAAGCATCTCCTGCTGAGTTTGCATCACTTCTGCTTTATGCTGGCTCTGAGGACCATGAAGATGTGAAAATGTGAAAAACAGGGAGGATGAATTCTGCTTTGCCCCCTGCTGTGCAGCAGCAGGGAGTGCCACGCATTGCATATGTGATGGAAATGATGCAGCTGACAATGTTTCCCGGTGCTACAGGGAGTGCAGGCTGGCTGTGACACTTCCCCTGGCTGCTTCACTCCTCAGCTGGCCTAGGAAGTGGCTTCCATTAGCCGGGAGCTGCATGCAGCAGAGAAGCAGCTCCTTCCCCTGACAGTAAATGTCTTCTCTTGCCTGGACGCTCAAAATGGCAGCAACAGAACAGATTCTGATGGTGTCATGCTGTGACCAGCACACCACTGCAGCTGGAGGCCACCAGTCCAGCCCACACCCAGAGCAGGGCCACTGAGCAGGTTGCTGAGGCTGTACCCAGTGGGATTTTTGGTATCTTTGGGGATGGAGACCCTACAGCCTCTCTGGGAAACCTGCACCGGTGTTCTACAGCACTAACAAAGGTTTTCCTTATGTTTGAATTTCCTGTACTTCACTTCGGGTCCAGTGTTTCTGCTAGAAACTGCTGATTCTTCTAGATGCCACTGGGAAAGGTCTGGCTCTCTGTTCTCCACTCCTCACACCTGGTATTTATACCTGAGGATGCCCCACTAGCCTCTCCAGGTTGAACCTGCTGACAACAGTCGGGCTAATTCTGTGTAAGGCAGCCCTGATGCCTCAGTCTCTGCCTCCAGGAAGGGCTGCTGGGCCACGGTCATCTTGGTGACCACCAGGACCCCAGGTCACTTCCTGCCAGGCTCCTTTGGAGCCAGGTGCCCCCGGCATGCATTGGGTTGTTCCTCTCCATTGGCAAGATTCTGCACCTCTTCCTGTTGATCTTACAAGGATGCCTCTTCATCCAGCATGTAATGGGCAACTCAGCATGGCAGCAGATCTGTCCCATGTTACAGTATTCGCACGCTACCTTGAGTACCATCCTGGTATTCCCACCACTGGGATTCTTTCAGCTCTGCTGAGCTTCTCAGCTCCTTTTAGCAGCTGTTTTCCAGTCATCCACCAGTTAACATGCTAACCTTCAGCTCCATCAGAGACACCCAAAGTCCAGAAGCATGTGGTCCCAACCTATCCCACAGCTATCCTTAACCTCCTTTTCCTTTGCTTGCTCCCCTTCAGCTCTCTAGCTGACTCACATCGCACTTTCCCCATCTCCTTGCGGTGTCACAGGTCCCCCGACTCCCAGCTAAGTCCACATGCAGCAGACAGTTTCCGTTTTTCTCTCAGGCCTTCACTTCTTTCCGTGACCTACAAAACTCAACAAAGGCTCCTTAGCTTTGCTGTCAGGAGATGAAATTCTGCCTTCAGCTGGCTTGGTGACACCCATCTCTCTTGACCTGAGGTATCCCATCAGGAACCGGCGGCAGAGCGCGATGCAGCTTCCTGAGCCTGAGGAATGGTGGGCGAGGCCAGCAGGCCAGCAGAGCACCAGGAGAGCCACTTGCATGGCCAGCCAACACCTGCTCCATTTCCCCTGGTGTCAACCCAGTGCCAGAGGGCTGCGTGGAAGCTGGATCATCAGCTGTGACTGATCTTAGCTGTCTCTAACTTCTATGAGCCTATCAGGAAATTTCATCCTGCAGTACAAATACCATCTGCATTTTTCTGTCCAAAGAGATAGACTCCAAACAACTTCACAATATTCCTCAAGATTACATTTCATTTATTCATGATATTTGGATTTTACAGCTTCATCTACTTAGGACTGATGTGAAAAATAATCTGGTGTTCTTTTAATGACTACAACAGTTAGTGTTGGTCTCTCTTCCAGTCGGTCTCTCTTACAGCTGCAACTTATTTAATAACAAACAGAACAAAAAGAGTCTAAGACACATCTGACATCACTAAAAAAGGAATCAAACAACACTGATTTCATGTAGGAGGAAAAGGAATCAAGCACTTGTTTGTTAGAAATATCCCCTTAAAATAGCACAAGAAAAATACATATTCAATGGGAAAGCTCAGGACATGTATCTGTGCTTGTCTACACACCGGGAACGCACACATGCACACCCACTGAAACATACCTGTGTGCATTCACACATATACATGTGGCAAATTCAAAAAAAGCAATTCAGCTTTTTTTCTCCTGGAAGAATACTGTAGTATCTCTTTGCTATATTATATCTATCTTTACAACAGGACGGAAAACTTGCTAAAACAGAAAAGAAACAATTACTTCTAAGAGTTCCCACTTACTTGATTAAATCCTGAAAACCACTGCTTTTCTCATTAGTATAAAATACATCAAAAAGTGGTTTTGATCATTTCGGATCTAAATGATCCAAAATGATTTCACTACCAGTTTCTTACAACTCATTTGGCTTGCTTCGCCCTCAGAACTCTTAGTATAATTATTAAAATGCCTTCAAAATCTTTCAATATATGTGAAGTTTGATCACTGACCACTTGTGTTATCCCCCTCCTCAAAAATCCTCCCAAAATTTAAACATGTTATACAATAGCAAGTATATTCTTATTTTATATATAGTGCATCCTGCTTTGAAGTGCCAGCAGGTACTTGGAAAGAAAAAAACACGTAGGAAAGACAAAAGCAAAAGAAAGGTGTAGTCTCCTGCAGGATGGCTCCAGGACGTATAACTTGTTCAACCTAAGTCTAAAGGGGCTAAAGACCTTGTTCTGTATTTTCAGAAGAAAACAACTAGTCCTTGAAGCTTGATCTCCAGACTCAAAAGGTGGGTCCAGGTGAATCAAATGAGATTCAACTCAGCAAAGTGCAGAGTTTTGCACTTGGGCTGGAAGAATCCCAGGCATCCATACAGACTGGAAGGAGCGGTCCTTGAAAGCAGCTCTGTGGAGAAGGACCTGGGGGTCTTGATAGATGAAAAGCTTAACATGAGCCAGCAGTGTGCTCTTGCAGCTCGGAAGGCAAATGGTATCCTGGGCTCCATCAGAAGAGGGGTGGCCAGCAGGGACAGGGAGGTGATTGTGCCCCTCTACTCTGCTCTTGGGAGGCCCTGTTTGGAGCACTGTGTCCAGGTCTAGGTTCTCCATACAAGAAATACAGAGAGCTGTTGGAGAGGGTCCAGAGGAGGCCACAAAGATGATCAGAGGGCTGGGAGCACTTCCACAGCAAAGACTGGCTGAGGGAGCTGGGCTTGTTCAGCCTGGAGAAAAGAAGGCTGCAGGGTGACCTCACTGCAGCTTCTCAGTACCTAAAGAGATGCTACAAACAGGAGGGGAATCAACTCTTTGAAAGGGCTGGTAACTGCAGGACAAGGGGAAATGGTTGAAGTTGAAGGAGGGAAGACTAAGGTTAATCTTAAGGGGTCAGAGAGAAGTTCTTTACAGAGAGTGGTGAGGTGCTGGCACAGGCTGCCCAGAGAGGATGTCCCATCCCTGAAGTTGTTCAAGGCCAGGTTGGATGGGGTCCTGGGCAGCCTGGTCGAGTGTTAAATGGGGAGGTTGGTGGCCCTGCCTGTGGGCAGGGGGGTTGGAGATTCATGATCGTTGAGGTCCCTTCCAACCAAGGCATTCTATGATTCTATGATCTAAATTTCTGCGGTGGAGAGGCGGCTGCCTTTGGCTGGAAACAACCTGGAATCCTAATTAATAAGAACAATGAAGACCTGAGAGGCTATCACTAATCGTGGTCCGGATACTTGCTCACAAGAGCACCATTCTCTCTGTGTCCTCTCCACACAGTCCTGGGAACATGCATGATTACTGTGATGGTGTTTACCCCTTAGGTTTCTCCGTGTCTTCCTTAAGTGTAAATAGGTCTGAGTTACATTTTTTTTCTCCTGTCCTCCTGCCCTGTTCTTAATAAATGCACTGGTCAGCAGAATTAACCACGACTATTGTATGGCAACGAGTTTTGCTGCTTAGAGCTTGAGTTCTCGGAAAAACTCAATTTTTCATCTTTTCTCATATCCAAAAGGAAATAATCAATTTCACTGCTGCTGAAAAGCCTCCCTTTCTAGTCCCTGTAACTCCATCCTTCACTAAACATAAGGGAAGTTAAGACCTTTTTCATATTAGATTTGTTGCTACAGTCTAGCACTAACCTACATTCACACAAAGCAGAAGTTCATCACAAAATCTCTTATGGCAGAGACGAATCAATGAAAGCTATTAATCAGTCTTTAATCACTGAAGGCAATTTTGGTATCACAGGAGTCCTGAAATAAAGGTGGCTGTGGCCTCTATCAACTGAAGTGATCCCACTTAGAGTGCCTTGAAGCTCAGTACTAAGAACACCTCTTAAGATAGTTGCCAGACTCACAGGATTTTTTCTATGTATGAAAAAAAGAAAAAAAGATCTTATTGAAAGGCAAGAAATAAAGCAAAACTAAACATAGTTCCAGAACCACATGAAATGCTAATAGGACACACGCTGGAGAATGATTAGGAAGACACATAAATGGTAAGGTCAAGTAGAAAGATTTTCTCAGTAGGTGGAATGCACATCTTGCATACCATCACATTTAAAATAGATTTCTCTTGACATATCCTGAGGAATCACATAAATCAGGACCTGTGATCAACACCCAGAACAAGAGTCATCTGGATGTGGCCCCAAGCAGATTGCTGATAAAGCTGGAATGCCTCAGATCTGGATCCAACAGGCTGCTGCCCCTCTCTCCTCCAGGGGAAGAGTAACTTGACATATTCATGTAGCAATGCCACGTTCCAGACATTATTCATAACAAGATATCAAGTACCAAGCGCGGGAAATGGAGAAATGGCCCATGGCACAGGATGGCAAGGCCAGGGCAGGATACCTCTGCAGTGAAAGTAGTACTTGTTGGGAAACATTTGGCCAAGGACCCAACCCTGCCATCTGGAGGAAGTGTATTTCATCATCTAGCAAGCTTCAATTTGGCTTTGGATGTTTTCCACAGCAAACACAGCTCAACAGATTTGCGATGCCCAGGCATCACACCGCCCTTAGCGTGGCACAGATAAAAAGTGAAGAGGCTGCCAAAAGGCCTCTGCCCTACTGCCTACACACAGAACTTGGGCCTGTGCCTGTCACAACACCGGTGGGACCGAGAGAAAGAGCTCAGTGCTCACAGAGAAAACTCAAGCTGGGGCAAAACTCCACCTTCTTCCCATCAGAGCAAACCACCAAACCAAGTGCATCGTGTGGTGGTTCAACTCCTGGGTTGAAATCCCTTTCCAATTAGACTCGTCAGGATTTTGGCCCTGGCAAACACAGATCCTCTAGGATTCCACAGTGAAATTCCCTCCTTTGCCTCCTAACGCTAGAAAAGGAAACACAAGAGCCAAGGAAACTGAAAGATGGTTTTAGAAAAATAAACACACTCCAACAAAGAACTTTTGCAAACATGCTGAGATTAATGCGTTTATAAGGTTATTCAAAAGTAATTCAAAGAAAATGGGAGCAAATTCTTCTGCATTTCCAGACATCGCTACAGTAATTAGACTCAAGACAGCTTATGGTAAGGACCAGAACAAACTGAAGGACAGATTATTTTATGCAAAAATACTGTTTCTCAATTTCTGCAATGGCACTTTGACCGTTACGTTAATCTTTAATACACAGCACTGCAGTACTGCCCAGCCACAGGAAGAGAAGATGGGAACTGGCAACAGTGAAGTTCAAGGACACTGTATCAACTACAGCTCCAGCTCCAACAGGACAATGACCTGACAGGCTTTGGAGAAGGTGTAAGAAACCTTTTCAGATGTAATCAAGGCTGCAATTCCACACATATCCGCGTAGCCTTCTTCCAAGGACACAACATTTATAATTACATCTAAAATGAAGCATCTAAGCCCAGCAACAGCTTTGGCAATGAATACCACTAGACAGTTATACCATGCCCGAGTGCCAGCACGCCAGAGGTGTTATGTCATGCAACCCACAAAGAATAAACCTGACTGAAAAAAACACTGGAAGAGGAAGGACACTTCAGCCTACTTCCCTGAAAGCAAAGGATAGTGCTCCTTGTGTAATTCTAAAGATGCAGAAAAGTCTCCACCTAGCTATGCTGAATGTTCACAGACAAAAGCCATTTCTCCCAGCAAGAACAGGATCACCAAGATTTATAAGTTCTATTTTAAGCAAGTAAGCAAGCGAGAAAGGCAGAATACACGACAGCATGAACTACAAAGGGATTGTGGTTATTCTTAATCACTGCTACACCTCTATTTTCTAATGTTCCAATCACTGGATACTCCATGAGATTTCATTCTGATAATGTCTCAGAAAAAGTAAACATACCTAACTTGCTTGTAGGGAAGGCAGCAATAGGGTTCAGCACTTAAAAAGGAAAGAGTAATCTTTCACAATAACAAAAATGTGCAAAATTCATCAGAAGGCACAGAATACGTAGGTGTGTTCCATTCAATCCCCATTTATTCAGCTAAACCTCTCCTGCGATCTGCTAAGTATTGCTTTTTGTTTCTTTTTTTTTATTTTTTTTTTTTAAGAAAGCCTTTCATCAGGGTATATTTGACACAGAAGACTGGATCTACCGTGTTTACATCCCTCCAGGCTGTTCACCAATGTGTTAAGTTGGACTAAGAACTGGGGAGAAATATTCTCCAGTGCAGAAATAAGGCCACACTGCTAGCACAATTCAGATGCAAAAGAGTCCTTTGCTCAGTCCCTCCTGGCCTGACAGTTACACTATTCATCTTTACTCATCTTCCTCCCAGTTACCAAAATTAAATTTCTTTTCCCCTGAAAAGATTAAACATTTGGGAGAATGAAAGCTGTCCTTCCTCTAAGGGGATCATAGGACATCAAGTTACATCACGCACTGGTGCACTTTGTAGGGTATTTCAGGAAATGCTGACAATATAGTTGCTTTCTTATGTAATGCAGAAACACTGAGCAGATTTGCCGTCAGTCACAGTAAGAATTTGAAGACAGACATCAACATTGCAGGGCTGTGTCTGGAGCTCCTGTAGCTGAGATCAGAGGCTGACCCTCCATCACCCCATTAGGCATTGCAATGAAGCACAAGCTGTTGATGAGGTCAGCAAGGTCAGGGCTAGATCGGGCTCGAAGTAACCTGATGTCCTTGCAGATGTTCCTTTTGATTGCAGGAGAGTAGGACTACATGAACTCTCAATGTCCCTCTCAACACAAACAATTCTGCAATTCTACGGTCAGCAAAAGGACGGGGCTGTGTTTGTGGAAACACAAGGCTCTCTGGCATTTGGGAACAGCAGCCAAGCCTTGAGTGGTCTGGTGATGGATGGGAGATGTTCAGGTAAGTTCTCTGTAACTCCAGACTGACTTGATATTCCACTTCATTTAGGAAACAAAGCATAAACTGAGGAGCAAAATAAAAAGAAAACAACATTGCAGCTAGTAATAGTTTCATTTGAATACAGTGGATCCGGAGGTCAGCCCAGGGACCTGAATTTCAGAGGGCTTTAGCAGCAGGAACATGGTCAGTCATTACGTGCGCCTCAAGAGGTTCTTAGCCTTAATGAAGAAGCTAGGATTAATATGAAGTCGATTCTTCTTTCCCTCATGTCGGCTGGATGAGGTTCCTAGCAGCATTCTCTGGGTTAGGAACACTGACAGTAGTGGAAAACTTTTGTGAAAGTAACTGCAGTTCCCATCTTTTCTGCTTTCTTGGATTGAAAGCAGATGCATTCTGCAAAGGCTGCCATGTTCTGGAACTCTGCAGCAAGGATGAAACTGGACATGTTCTCTTCCGTGAGTGGCTCTTCAGTGACACAACCTGGTTGTCATCTCCTTCTGTAAAACAAGAAGGGAGAATTAAAATGCAAAGGACGTTTGTTTAAAAATTTGCAAGCACCTCTTCCCAATTACCACTTCTGCATTTGTGCCAATTTACACAGCTTTATATGCCACCATGTTTCTGCTCCTCTCTGTCAGTTTCAAGGTGAAGATAATTGGCAATTAGCATGCTGTGTTTTGTCACTTTTGACAGCTTTAGTACCTTGCTAATTTCCTATCCAGACCATGTAAAAGGTGCTGCATCCCACACATAACAAAGTAGTCAGGCAGGAAGCCTTTTAACTTAATGCAAGGAACAGGATTCCAACTCTTGTCACTGCACTTGCAGCCAACAGGAAACAGGGAAATAAAATGTTTACCCAATTATTTCTGCTGACATAAGGACACAAAAGGCGAATCGTTCTAGGACTCAACCAGACCTGTGGAATTTGATTCTAGGATGGGGTCTTGTAGCATTCAGACCATATTTGGAAATGGGGGTTGGCATCCACTGCAGGATCTGATTTGACTTGATGTGAATTAAAGGCAATTTGATCCAGCAGCTGACTACTCTGTTCTATAAAATCCTTCATATCTCTCCACATAAACTTTATAAAAGAGTATCAGATGGCCAGTCACTTTGTCACTTTCCTGACTTTCTGTCAGAATTCAGATGTGAAGATGTGATTTGCTCTGAACAGAGGGCAACTCTTCTTTACAGAGTAGGGACAGCTGCATGTTAAGATCCAAAAGCTTGCTATTTCAGAAGAGTTTTGCCAAAAGGTGTATAAATGAGAGAAGAAGTCCCAGATTTGACCTCAGGGTTGAAAGGCAGAAGCATGTAAGTGCCACTAAGGCTGTGCAGCTTGTCCTTACAGCTCCCCTCTCACGATGTCTCCAGACCTGTATAGCATTTCCTCTGGAACATCTATTGATGTACATAAAGTTGTCAGAATTTTCTGAAACTCCCCCTAGATTGCTTGAGTAATTTGTTGTCATTCGTAACACAACCTCATGTAAAAGCCATCTGGATAGTCTTGTATCTCCACATTACTCTGGGCTAACTAGATCATTTAGTTACAAAATAAGTGAAATTGTTAGATTTTTTTTTTCCTTTCCCGTTTTAATTAGTTTTCATTTCTAGCTGATTACAGACTGATTACAGAACGGAATACTGTCATTTACTATTGCTACAAAGACAACATAACAGATACAGCACTTATAGTCCAAACTCGTAGTTGCTTTTCCCTCAAATTTGTTACAGATGACACAGATAAATGTTCATAGAAAACTCTGTCTGCCATTTAATTTCCTGTTAAATGTTATCTTAAAAATAACAAACAAACAAAAACAGCCCAGGATTATTCCTTCAAAGCAACAAATAACAAATGTGGAACTTAACTATAACCCAGCACACATAGGATATGACAAAAACTTGCTTGGAAGCAGTCCTCCTTTTCAAAACATACGTTTTCATCCTCAGATTTGACTCATTTATTTCCCTTATCTGAAGATTCATTAGGTGCTAGTGCTTCTTGAGGCAGCAGTAATCCTACATGTCTGCACTGCACGTGCAATGACCATGCAGGTCTGTGAGGTGAAGCACAGCCACTTTGTCCTGCAGAGCCGCTGAGAGGATGTTGGCAGCTGGGCAGCAGCATCCTCTCTACAGAAAAGCATCAGGGTTGTAAGGCAGGCAGCACCAGGCACTTTGTAAACTTGGCACAATAAAACACTGAAAGCAACTCATTCAACATTCAAAATACATTTCCATTCCTACTTTAGGGAAAAAAAATAGCATCAGAGGTAGGAACTGAGACACAGGCAAAGGAAGAGTAGGATTGTCTGTAAACTAGAGGGCTCTACAACAGTGAGTGCCTATGTCATTTCACTATCAATGAACTGTAGCTGCAGGTTTTTCATTGTTCAATTATCACTGACTGAGCACTTAGAACACCATTCCAAACTTTGCTATTAATAGAGAATTTACCTTAGTGTAACACAAATTCTGCACACACCTGTTCATCTCCTTGCTCCTGCAACATTGCTTGGTTGAACAATGAGATTAGCAGTCCCTGAAATCCACCGTCTTCTCCCCAACTCCTGTTTCCCCCATCCCATCATGACAGCATTGCAGTACAAGACTCTGCAGTTTTATCCCTGCTTCTACTTTAAGAGCCTTCTGTTCCTGCACTGGCTTGACTTGGCTTGGCTTGGTTTGGTTAGGGCAACTTATAAAAGTCAGAACATCCTTGAAACTTAAAGGCTTCCGTGTCGACCTAATCTGTTATGGGTAAATGAAGGACACAGCAATGTAGAACCACAGTCACACTGCATTTCTGCACACATGCGTATACACTTTAACTTATTTCAGGCAAGGAGCTGGAAATGCTTCTCTAAAAAAAAAAAATAATCACTATATTTAGAAGTGTGGTTTGGTACATGCTTTGCGGAAGGGAGGAAAATAAACAGGAAATAGTTTCTCAAGAAGACTGTTGTGTAGCTGTTACAATTATGAACCAGCTAGCCTCTGTCACAGTGACAGTGTGAGGGAAAGCAGCGTGCTCTTGTAAGCATCTTCTCCTGTAATGTTCTGCAGAACTGAACACACGTAGCACTGCCCTCAGCAAAGACCCACAGCCCAGTATTCAGCAGAGTTTCTTCAGAACTCCAGAGTATTACTCTGTGTTGCTGCATTCAGACCTGTACCTTCTCCCATTTTTAGATCACACAATTAATTCCAATAATGAAGGCATGAGTGGAGCTTTCAAAGAAAGTAGAAAATAAAACTTTGGCCCAGTATGTCCACAAACCAGTTGCTAAGGAGCATTTAAGAAATAACTTCTAAGTAACTTTAAGAGAAATGTTCTTTGTCAAGTTCTCAAAGTATTCTCTCATTTGCCATGGCAAGCCACTCTGTAAGTATCACAAGTCCATCTGTTTCCTTAGCATATGCGATTTCACAGAAGGATACATTCCTTCCTCAACTGCTTTCAGGAAGAATCAACATGATTTCCCAGAAGAAAGGAAGGAAGCAGCACTGAATCTTAAAAGGGTAATCTTTATCTTTGATAGATGCCCAGTCCTCCCCTCTCACTATTGCGCTAACATGCTGGACAAATACATTTGGCACAGAAGTCTGTAACTAAGTGCTTTCATTTCTGCTCTCCACTTCATCTTCAAATAAAGTGGAAAAAGAATGGGAAAAATCCCTCTGACATCTTATAGAGTTAATGAGTAGCTGAAGAAAAATTTTTTTAATGGGACAAACCTACATATAGGGACACGCTGACATGAGTTACACGAAGAATGAGTTCCCCACTAAAGAATAACATTCTTCTAAGAAAACAGTTTTGCTAGACTTGTGTGGTGAGTCACAGCAGTATCCAAAACATAAGGTGCAAACATCCCAATGGAAGCAGGAGGGATCCACAGTCCATCTGAGGCTAAAACTGTTGGGAAAGTGGATGAATACACATGGGTTACAGTATGAACAGCAGCACTGTAAAAACACCTGGAAAATTAACCAATGCAATGACATTAGACATGAAGGCACTCATGCATCAGCATCCCTGGGAGAGCTTTCTGCTACCTGCTCCCATGAGGAAGAGGGAAATCCATTGGATTCCCAGCAGTACATGGAGAGGGAGGATCTGCAGTATGCCCACAGGACATCCTTCAGTCACAGACATTCAGTCGTTCAAATCAGAACCACAGAGTAAGTGAAGGAGCAAGCAAAAGGCATAAGAGAGCATTTACATGCTGTTCTCTGAAGCACAAAGATCTACAACTTTTGCTACCCTTGTGGCTGTTTTTTCTTCACAAAGACTTCAACAACGGACAAAGCAACATGTGGACAAAGCTTAGTATCCTGGTCACAAGAGGCTGTTTGCTGTGGAATAACAAATATCACCTGGTCTGAGATCCAGTGCTGCACAACAAATCTATATTTAGATGGCAAGTTAACCAGGATAGGAATGGTGAAACTACATTTGTAACAATTTGTTACTTAGAAAACTTCTTTTTCTGGCATTTTTAGTTAGAGCCTTGTCGTGGATCCTCATTTCCAAACTGCTTTATCCAATGTTTTTTTTTTTTAAATTTCCTCCATGGTTTTCAGTTGCCCCATCTTTGTACACCACTAGGAAGAAAATGATGGTCTGGCAACTGATAGCAAATAGGCATGCTCATCATCCAAGTATTCAGGCTTCAGAACTTCTGCTTGAAGAAGTCTCAATTATGGTGATGCTTGGGACTTTAAACATGTTGCTTTTGGCTCTAAGGTCATGAAGACCAAATAATAAATACTAATGCTATCTTTAGTATAAAATTTTGCAGATTTTCTTTTTTTTCAGAACATGTAATTCCATCACTAGGACCTATAATTCTTTTTTTACACGATGTTTTACATTAAGTTATTTTGTACACTAACATATCTTTTCAAATGACACAATATTTTCTTTTTTTTTTTTTTAACGACCAAGTTTATGTGGCACTAAATTTCTTCCTTTAGCTGTGAGAAAAAATTCTGCTTCTTAGCTCTCTGGTAGGTCTGGGTTTAAAAAGAATAACAAAAAGCCAACCCAAAACTCATTATTACCAGAAAGAAACACTTAAGAAGTACTGTTCAAATTGTGAAAATATACATTTTTACTTAGATCTAAAAGCTTTCCTGAACGTTATGCTTCTTAACGTATTCACAATTGCCTTGTTATGCAAGCAAGAGTATGGGATTATGTCATCAAGTGCTACAGAAAAGAAAGAAATGATAGACATATTTTGAATACCCATCCAAAATTTCAAGTTGATTTGAGTTTAAGGAACACTAAATTTTGCTGCTTCATAAAGCAGTCTTCTGTTTCTGAAGACTGACATCATTCCAGCAGTGGAACACCCCCTTGCATCAGTCTAGCAAGGGCAGCTGACTGACTCTACGCAGAGAAGCACAAGGTATGGCATTTTGTTGAAGGGCCCTAACAGCGCAGTACAACAGCTGAGGTGCTAATGCAGGACACAGG